CTGCAACGGTTCAACATATCTTATTGAAATTTGGCACAGATATAAAACAAAGTCTGGAGTACACATGGGATAAACTTCATCCCCGAGAAATATCCGGTTCCCGAGGGATACGTAGCTTTTTGTAATTTATATAGTTCGTATGTTTTCTAATACCACGCGGACGAAGTCGCGGGCTCGTAATATAATAATTTCTTTATCCCATTGTCATTTTAGTATCAAATAAATTACGTCCACTGTATCAATTGATTAACGCATACTTCTAACCCTTACATTATCTGTGGCGAAACAGAGTCAAGTTGCAATCGAAACCTACAAATTGTCTTGTAATATTATATGTACATTACTTCTTTTTAATGTTTTTTTTTAATTTTTGAAACGGGGTAATAGGAAAAGGCAAGCTGTATTTTCGTGTAAGCGAATTACTAGTCATAATGTAAAAAAAAACTTTACAGACATTCTGAATGAAATTTGTGTACATAAATGGTAGGAAAAATTCTTCGATACTATGCGATGCGGTTATAGTCGGCAGGCCCAATGACAAGATTTTTCGGTCTTGGCCAATATACGAGAAGCGAACGATAATTTCATTTAGATATTATTCAGGTTGTATGTCATGGTCCTAGTTATACGAGAGAGTAAGTGTGACTAAGTTAGACTATGTTATCAAAGTAATTAAAGTTCGACTACAGTCTTCAAGTTGACTTACTGCCTACAACTTAGTGCATTAACGAGTTGTAATTTCTCCTCACCCATTCAGAGAAAGCATTGATAAATAATAGTTTAATTAGTTTTACGTTCACTCCCAAATCATGTTCTCCGAGTAATGCTAGAATTGAGTGCCACATAAAGTTTCTTACGTTACATTTGAATCCGAACCGAACTTAGTTCGTTCAAATCGTGGACCTAAATCGGTTGCTTTTAGGCAAATCGATCGTATTTCCAGTCAAAGTTCTTGGTCCCTGAGGGGCTATAAGATTGTTTTGCTTGATCTTTTTTATTTCTAGATAACAGATAAATGCATTTCTGGATATTCTTACTTAGAGCCGTTTATTTCATGTCACTAAAAGTTTATGTTTAAGTTTACTTAAAGACTAAATTAATTTAAAAGAACATTTAAGCTTTCAATCTTTTAGTATTTCTTGGTATATTTTCAATTAAATGTCGTTTATTAAACGCCTGTTAAAAGCGCTTAAAACTAAGATACAAAATAATTCTTTCGAGTTTGCATTACATTTTGTGCAGGAGTTTGTATATCAAATAGCACTTTTGCAATTGGATTTGGTTCTCTGTAAAAATTAGCTCGACTTTTAGAAGCAATATCAATGTTATCGACTATAGTAAAAGTTACCTGGATAGCAAACACATTTTTACCGAAACACCGTTCACGTGACGCGTAATCTCTTATTAAAAAGAAATTAAACAGACATACACAATTTTGCAGGAAAACTAAGAGCAAAGAGAGGTAATATTTTTGAATATATACCGAGTATTAAATTTATAAGAAAATGTATGTATGTCATGGCATAAACGTTATGAGACAGCTAGTTATTTATATCGTGTTTACGTGCCTTCCTCGCAATATTGCACTCGTTTCCGATATTATCAGCTAGTAAATATTTCGAGCAGTAAATTTAATAAACGTCAAATCGATTTTTATCAACAAAACAACACTTTAGAATAATCTCGGATTTGACGGCTTAAAACTTGCATTTTTATATTTATTCTACTAGCCCAGAATGAGATAATGTATCGCGTGTTTATGTAAATATATGTGTACTTAAATTATCTTTGTTTGACTGACTTCACTTAGTTCATTTCTTAAAACTAGCTAAGTTTAGCTAAGCGTAGATAGTTTTAACCAATATTGTATTTCCTTCCCCAAAATAACGCACCGAGTCTTTTAAAGGTCCGTTCAGACAGAGGCGAAGAGCAGAGTAGATTTTTCATCACATATGAAATTGAGCCTGATTAAAACAAGGTTAGGTTTAATTCTACTTCTTATTACGAGCTCGAGATAAAAGACGCGTATGGAAAATTTAAACTTTTCTCAATTTTATTTGCGATAAAAATTTGCTCTGATCTACGATCTGGTGTGTGAACGGGCCCTAAGACATTATGCACTTTTTGAAGAATCTGATAACAGCATCGATAAGCAAAATATGTTTACTTCCAAATTAATTGTCGAATCATTAACTTTTGTCTGTTTCACTATCAGTAGATAATGTTATAGACAAAAGGTTTGCAGCCGCGATCAAATTAATTAGCAATTTTAATCTGATTTCAAGTCATTGTACCGGAAAGTATATTTGTAATTAATCCTTTTAGTTGTAGCAGAACAAAAGCATGGATAGTTAGATAAGACATTTTTTTTAATTATAAGGAGAATAAGACATTGTTTGTTATTTTGCAACTTGGAACCAAAAAATGCATTGTAAATGGCTGAATTCGTTACTTATCTGTTGCATTATAGGTACTATTCTGCAAAGAGTCCGTGAGGGGACGTACCTCATAGAGTAAAGCCTTGTAGAATGACAGTCAGATTATGTTTTGGGTTCTTTTTGGTGTAAGGAAATGGCAATGATTTAGTAATGAAATAAGAAATGATCACGCAATGATATTTTAAAATTTTAATTTAAAATGTATATTACGGTTTTTATAAACAATGATTTGTATAATTTTATCTATGTATATTTTATCTTAGGCTATACGGTACGCCGAATAATAGTAGCCATAATTTACAATATTGATTTGAGATTTCAATGTTTGTGCTAAATCTAACACAATGTTATGAAAATCTAAATAATAATACATGTGAATATTAATAGATTTCTCAGATTGCATTTAGGAAACGTCCTATTTACTTTTTAATAAAGTTGAATACAAAAACACAGATAATAAGACACAATTCTAACGAAAATGTTCAAGAACTATGTATATTATCAACGCTTATTGAATTAGCAAAGTAAACACATGACAGTATTAAAATATTTACAGTGTCTTCAACAATTGGAACATTTACTTTTAAAATATTAGACACTTTCTAAACTAGTTTTGATGAATATAAAAATAAAGAGACACACAAATCATAATTAATACATACCATAAATGAGGTATAATAAATAACTTAAACATTATCCAACTTAGTAAATACGAAATCTTATAATACCTTACTTATCTTTTATTTCTTTACTTTTGTTAAGCCAAATATATTTATAAAATAATGCTGAAATCGATCCGCCGATGATTGGTCCCACCCAGTATACCCAGTGCGTAGACCAGGCTCCTGTCCAAACGACCGGACCTAGTGATCTTGCAGGATTCATACTTGCTCCTGTCAACTCACTGCCTGCGATAGAAAGACCCGCGATTGTAAAACCGAATTTCAATGAAACTGATTCCAATGATGCTTCATTCGCCGGATCCCAAACAGCACAATTCAAGAAGTTCAATGCGGCAGTTAAAATAACTTCAACTGCAACCGCTTGTAGCATCGTTACTTGAGGATGAGGTTGTGTTGTGCAAACTGCATTCGGTACTAAATCTAGTGGTGACAAGCCCATAAGTATACCATATCCGAGAATCGAACCTGCGCACTGTGCTATCATGTAAGCTATTCCTAGCCAAATTGACATTTTACCCCATAACACAGCTCCTAGAGTCACCGCTGGATTCATATGAGCTCCTGATATATGTCCAAATGCTTGTATATTGAATAGAACAGCAAAACCGAATGCAAATGGTCCGTACAATGGTGGTTGAATCTGGAAACCTTCCAAGGGCACACATGCCATACATCCAAGAAACACGAGAAGTAATGTCGAAATAAATTCGGCTAAGACAGCTTTACAATCAGCGGCTAGTTTATATTTTGTTTCGCTGTCTGTATTTTTAACACTTACACTTTCGATCACGTTTACTAAATGATTTCCAGGTGTTATGGTCATTTTGTTTTTTTTTTAATTATTAAATTTATAAATCACTTTCACTTTTTTTGCTGACACTATTATTATTTTCGCACTATTTTGTTAATTCAGCACGGCCACGGCGTCTCGGATATTCGCTGGAACACTATATTTTCGGTGCACAGGTGATAATATTTTATAGCAGACGTAACGTATTATACAGATAGGCCGCTGATATCGAGAATGAGAATTACTTTATCACTGAATATATTGTTTTGTTGATATGATGTCTTCAAAGGTACTAGTAAACTGAGTATATTGTCATAAATATTCCAAATATGTAGGTAGACTAAAACAATCATCCGACAATATCAATGTTTTAACTAAAACGTGGGTAGTATGATATATTTTTTAACTAGATAAAGTAATAAAGTTTATGAAAGTATTGTTGGCAACACCTCTCTTGTTGACGGTTGTTTTGCGTTAATGTAATAATTGTCAAGTATAGTGAGCACAGTTTTAAGTAAAATTATTGTCGTAGTATTAGATTTATTTATTAGATTACAGAATTTCAATTAATTTATTAAAAAAAAAATGTTGATATGTGATACATTTTTTGTTTACTTTATTATAAACCAACCGGGGATATTACAGTTGTTAAGAAGGTAATGTATGTTTACATTATTTTCTATATGAAAACAACACCCGAGACAACTTAATCCTCAAAGATAGCAACTACTAACTAAACGACAAGTGAATTACATGTGTATAAGTGTACTTACAGATAGTCATAGTGTACACATTGTATATATTATCTTAGATTTTGCATTGTCTACCTACTACTGTTTATCTGAATAGTTAATTTAATATCTAAAATTGTATTTCAAATGTTTTTTTCAGCGCAAAATTTGTCTGATGTTAGTTGAATTCTTTTCAATAAGCAGAATATAGCGAAACACTTCCGAAGAAAAGTAATTAAGGTAAATTTTGTGTTATCTATACTTAGACAAATTAAGCTCGGAACTATTGTGATAATTCCGGATCTAATCGTTATAATTATTTTATCTATATCTGAAATAGACACAAATATCTTTGGAATGAATCGCGTTTTCTATTCAATTGTTTTTCGGGGATTGAAACGATATCACCTGATTGGAAATAAAATGAGTATAAGATATTAAATTAGTCATAATGTGATAAACGATAAATAAATAATGTGAAGAAAAAAAATATTGGAAAATTGAACTTTCTATGTTATTTAGAAAGGCGTGAAATGAAATTCCGTGTTTCGTCTGATGAGTGTAGTGCGGCAGGCCTAATTTAAGTCCCTTTCTCTTTACCACTTTTTATGTGCGTCTCCTCCTCCGTCGGATAAGGGTAGGCAGCGCCTCTGCGATCCCGGATGTCTATGGGCAGCGGTCGCTTCGCCATTTTGGCGGATTCGGTGGCCGCTTGCTCGTTTGCCACCTTATGTTATAAAAAAATATTAAAGAATAGAATACACGTATAAAATAAAGCGTGTTATGTATATCGTGTGCAAATACGAATATTTATATTAATAATCTTTTGCGTATCACTAAGAGATAATTATTAGTACTATTGTCCTTGTTCCATATTTCATTAGTTAGTAAACAAAGGCTCAGGAAGTATTAAAACTATATTTCAAAGTGTTTTTTTTTCAAAGCTTACTAATCCATCCATTTACTTTGACAAAAATGTAATCTAAGTAATTCTATTTTACACATTTAAAAATTTGGTCGTTATTTTAATTGAGAAAAAAAAACATTTTATTTTACTTAATAACGAGAACATAGCATCTTTACAGAATAAACATATAACAACAATATTTACAGAAATAACATGTAAGGAGTAAAAAAAAATGAAAATAAAACATTTGATCCAATGAATGACTGCTTGAAAAGATAAAAAGGGGCTCAAATAATGATTGGTTTGGCGCATACTGGCTACAAGTGGCTCCCCACTTGACGCCAATCTTGACAACGTTAAGAGGGTCAGCAGATAAATTATGTTTATTTGTTTCTACATTGAAGGTCACAGCTTCGCAAAAGTAACATAAACTAGTAAATAAAACACATAATAATCAACTAACTACTACATAAAAGTGATAAAAAATATTTGTTAAATCGTCAATTTTTTCCAACGCTTTGGCAAGTTTATTCGGTCAAAAACAAAATTAAATAAATCTTAAAAAAATCCTAATTAACTAAGTACATTCGATTATTGTTTGACATTATAGAAGTCCCATTCTTAATCACTGATTGTAAAAATCAATATTTTTCTTACAATTAAAAAGTCTGCATCAGTGAATCATTAAATCTCTGCATACTGCTAGCACAAATGACCATAATTTATATAACGTTTTTTATACAAGTACAAAAAAGATGAAGATAAAATATAGCGAATGTTACTCACTGTCTTTCCGACGCCGACTAGACGTAGAAATCTCATCCATACGCTTGTCTAGTAACATTGCTTCGGGGTTTTTCTTAATAAAGATATCATTTTATTCTTTGTTTTGAGAATTTAGTTTTCATATCTAGCTGTTACTAGAGGTGAAACTTTTGGGTCCATTTTTTGCATTACCTTTTGTAGAACTTTCGTGAATTTTTCCCGATTCAGTTTTATTCCCAGTTTTTCATTTGTATGTATTTAGTTTATCATATTTTCGAGTAAATGCTATATTTGAATATATCCTTTATTAAACAACATCTAATGAAGTATAAACATCGTTATTAAAATATAATAACGCCTCGATAAAAAGCAAAAGATTCTTTTTATTTCGTCTGCTTTCCTTCATATTACAGTTTTAATGAAACATCCTTTGAAACGGAAGCTCCTTTTGCTTGTTATAAAATTCTCAACGCTATTTACAGTTGAAAACGTTGATTATACAATTATTAATTTTCTTATAAAAACTTAATTTAACAACATATTTACGTTTCATATTGAGTTCATCCAACTTTAATAATATGTTTAAAAAAGTAATTGAACAGTTAATTTTGTAGACATGTCAATTATTCTGTGCCTTTTGTTCGTGAATATTAGATTACTCTAGGGAAATACATCGAACAAGAAACCCTTGCATTATATTGTATTTTAAGGTACCGATGCCGATGGCCAGTCGTCCATCTGGTACAGAATTTTATTTCTTATCTTTTGTTCTAAATGAAACGTTATTTTACATGTTATTTAAAATAATTTAGGTTCTAAGTTACTTTTTAAGTTAGTAAAGTATACAGAGACGGAGAAATATGAAACTAAAAATAAACAATTGAATAAGGTGTAATGCAGTGTTAACAAGCTTAAAAAATATTTCAAATTCATACTATTGGATATTATATCTATATTCTACATTACAAGTCAAAAAAGTATAACTTTTTGGAGGTCAATAATGATTACTCCGAACAACATCGAGCAAACAGCTGACTATCGGATTATTTTGTTCCGAAGTTGAAGTCGACCGCGTGACCATGATCCGTTCCTAACTAGTTTACATCGCTAAATAAGAACTGAATTACCGATTTATCACTACTACTGCGGTAAAGGAAAATGGCTATAACTTTACCCTCTGTATTTCGAAACAGTAAATAGTAGTTTCAGTTGTATGAGTGTTTTTCATAGAAATGTGTTATATAAGTATTTATTTAAATGTTCGGAATATTGGTTATTAATTGACATTATGTGACCCGGACCAGTAACAGTGACATATATATTTCGATTGTAATTAAAGTTAAGTATTTATGGTAATAAAATAAAACAAATGTATACTATCTCGTGTCGTAGTAAACCGAGATGTTTTTAGTTGTTTTATTTTTAAGAGAATTTTTCTACGGATAGATCGAAATCAAGACTCGAGAAGTAACAGATAGTGTCTTTAATGGCTAGGCTAGATAAAACGCGTAGAATAAAGTAGGGACTACGCGAATGTAACATGTACATCGGGACATGCATTATTCACAAAGGTACAATCTGCAGCGAAGAGCACTGCTCTTAGTTGCAAAACCAATTTCGACGACGTACGGCTAAAATTCACTCCTCTCTATACCTGTGCGAACGAAACTAAATTATACGATTCGCAGAATACATGACAATATACTCTTATCAGTTCCAATTCCTGACATTGGTCTAATAAATTAAATTTTCACCTTTAGTTTGCAGTCGAATGTCGAATCTAGTTTCAAACTTTACTCTAAAATATGCAGACGTTGATGATACTTAGTTTTATTACTTTAATAAAAACATTTCATAGGAATCAATTTAACAAGTAAATTACATACAAGTTAACGAAAATTTATCTTTACTTTAATAAAAGATAAATGATGGTTTATCATATTTCGATGTCATTCTAAAAAATGTAAACCAAGTGAAAACTGTTTTAGAAATAAGCTTAACTTCCAACGGAAAGTAAATCCTAAAGTTTTTCGAGAAAATAAATTGGATTCTGAAAGAATAAGTTTGTTTCGCGTCATTAGAGACATTGTTAGCACGTTTTTTTCTATTTTTATATTGACAATAAGGTTTATTGGACTATTTATCTTTACTCTTATCGTATCCGTATGTCACATTAATTACACATATTTGAAATGAAAGTTACTCATCTATAAGCCGATGAGTTTGATCCAGGAAAATCTGCTTTTCGCCGAACATGAATTATTAATTTTGCAGTTTCATTTACACTTTGAACTCTGTTTTGTACTAAGGACGTCAATGAATTAATAGAACTGGTGAAATAAATTACACTGAACTTCAAATGAAAATTTATTTAATTAAAGTTTATTATTATTATTTTTTTTATTAAATTTATGGGACATATGACGTCATTAGATATCAGTGCCGTTTTTAAGAATTTAAAATAAAAGATATATTATGCGTTCTATAGAAGCATTCTAAATAATTAAATTATTATAACTTTATCTTGAAAGACAAGGCGTATAACGTTCGTGAATTAATATTCTGGGTTCGTTGTAATTTATTTAAAATGAATTTGCTTACATAATCTCGCCGATCCATCACAAAGTCTGTCATTTAAATTAACTTTATACAAAGCTTGTCAAAGTGCGATTTATTATCGGTTCAATGTAAACCCATACAAAGTTGTCAAAAACCCTTTTGATAACCCAATTTTAGTTTAAATGTAAATTTAATTAAATATGATTGCATCTAAATGAAGAAAGGATAGTGTGATAGGTTTTAATAATATTTTTAAAAACAATTTTTTATAATTTTAAATTCAAGTAATAAATAAAAAAAATTCGTTTCCGTTGGAACACTAGAGCCGGAGATAAAAATAATTGACCCGCTGTTGACACGTTTCTGGCACATCTCTTTCGCATCATCGATTAACTGATTCTCGTAACGATATACAGAGTTTTTCCATGTTAAAAGTCAAATATTTTATGCCTATAAGAGTGAGTTCATAAGAAATAAATTAATATTGCCAATTACTTAGCTTAGTGTTCAGTAATATTTAAGACTGAAGTTGTCTTTAACTTCATTATTTACTACACTTTTCTAAAATAAAATAAAAAAGTGTACTGAAAAAAAAGTCATATAAATCAGATCAGAATACAAAATACTTTTACCAAGTTTAGTATTACATTTGATAATGTAAACAGCTTTTTATTAGCTAAAGGCTGAAAGTGCTATTGATATAAAACTTGCTTGATTAATTAATTACAAATGTCCTGTGATGTGAAGTTAATTCATCTACTGCTAACATAATGTGTGTACTATTCATACAAGGGCGGGATTTGAGCGCCTCAGTCAACAAAGGGTATTCTAATTGGGCCTCTGTACCTAACTAAATTGTATGAGATTACGGACTGTGGCTTTTGTGATGCCCAAATTCAAGTTACGATAATGGAACAATAGACTTTGGCAAATTCATTTAGCATTGTTGTTAAATTACTAAAACTTACATGAAGCTGTATTTTAAACTAACGCATGGTTAAAATAACTAAAGAAATCTTTATTTATGTTGTTTAATGCAAGTATTGTGTAATGCAGCTTGCATGCAAGTGTAATTTCGCCTAAAATGTAGCTAAACAATACAAATTAGAATTTGTATAGAAATATTTTGGTTAACGCTAACTGGATTTATAATGAATGTGAAAATATTTTTTAAGAATCAATAAGTCCTCCTTTGCTCTGTTCTGTGATTGAAACAATGAATTGTACCTTCTGTAACTACGAGTAAGTGATTTAAAATGTAAAATGTGTTTCAGAAAATTTATGCAAATTGTCAAATCGATACAAGTGCATTACGTGACAGCATACTAGTTTCCACTGGCGAAACAAATGAAAACAATATTGATATCTCTGTTTATTCTAAGAAAATGTAAGAGACGTCAATATGTTTGTTGAGAAGTATATTAACAGTGGAAACTCAAGGAGAAAATTACAAACTACAAAGTCCCGCCCCAATGTTTACCGACAATCGTTGTGCCATTATGTCGTTTAGGCTTTATAAATTAATAAGCTTTGATTATAGTGCCTAACCACTTCTGTAACGTTTGCGTGCTGAAAATGTCCCCTAGTAGTTAATGTCAAGTACAAAGGTATATAAATAAACAATATTTCTGATAACATTAAAAAATTTAATTTCAAAAAGATCATGTCATATATGCAATGTATAAAAAATCATTCTAATCATAAAAAAATCTATTACATATTTGTACCATCACGTCATATTATAAAATTTCCATTAAATTTTACCGAATAATATTGAATAGATAATTACTTGTTAGTGTACTTAATAAATTGGAATAACAAAGCCTAATACTGAAAGAAGAAATAAGCGTTGAAATTTTAATTAACTAATCAAACATTCGTTTGAACGAAATGTATATTTAAACAACTGTATCGATGTAGACATACATGGAAAATAATTCAGAAGATACCTGTTCAGTTCAAGTTGTGGCGGAGACAGAACTTGCTTTAAGATGAGAATTTTTTTAGCTCTGCTTTTTGTTCTTTGCATCGCATATTGCGAACGTACGGGAATCATTTTCTTTGGAATATATTCGTTAATTACCTTGTGAATTTGATATTTAAATGTTATCAAAAACTTATTAATTACGTTTAAACCCTTTTTATAGGTGTTGAATTGACATGTGAACAAATTCGAGCTTTCGTCGACGGACACAATAATCGTCGGCTTAAAGTTGCCAAAGGTTTAGTTCCTGGTCAACCAGGAGCATCCAATATGGAATTTATGGTTTGTCAAAATAAAGTATTTTAGTTTATTAGAATAAATTCAATAATATATGCTAAGATGTATTTAAATTTTCAAGAAAAAAACATGTTATGGTACAGGTATGGGACGAAGAACTTGCAGAAAAAGCCTCTAAATGGGCCGAAAAGGAAGAGTTTAAACACAACCCTGATAGAACTATAGGTACGCAAATATCGCATTAGAAAAAAAAGAAAAATCTTGATTAGGATAAAACAATAACGATTTTCTGTTCCAGATTCAAACAGGTGGAGTTTAGTTGGTGAAAACATTTATGAATACAATTATTATTCGAATATGGGAGATGAACCAAAGATTGACATTGAGAATACTTTGGACAACTGGTTTCAAGAACATAAATTCTATAATTTCGTGCCTTTCTTTTTGACTTCAATCAACCCATTCGGTCATTATACACAGGTAAAATATATACCTATAGCAATTTATTAGATTTACTTAACTACATTTGTTTTTTTTTAAATTATCCTTATTAAATCATTCGTGCATTATAATTTATTTGTTAATTTTAGATGGTTTGGTCGAATACTAATCGTTTAGGATGCGGTATTTCACAAACTAAGACGCACAACCACATTAAAACGTTATTTGTATGTGATTATGGCCCGACGTAAGTGTATGGATGTTTTTTTTTTATTATTTAGTTACTTGTGTTAAATATCTCCAAGGATTATTTAAAATACTCATGACAAAAGCATCAATTATGAATATAATAAAAATGTGTTTCAGAGGTAATTACTTCGAACAAAAACCTTATAAAACCACCGGTGCTATAGGACAACTTCTATGCAGAGATGGCAAATGCGACAAGCCGTATGGTCCGAATTGCTAAGAAATTAAATAATGTTTATTTCTGAATGATACAAGAAAAAGAAAAAATCTTTTCTTTGTAATTACAAGTGTGTTTATTTGAAAATTGTAATATGTATAATATATTTTTATTGCAATGGATGTAGTTATGTGTTTATTTAGCTTGTTATTTCTTAAGTTACGTTATATAATCATATTTATATGCGAATGAATAGTCTGGAATTTAATTGATCTTATTGCTATCCAAAAAGAAAACAAGGAGATAAAGTACAAGGAGTACAAAAATCCTTTTTACGTGACTTAACATCGTAGAAGTAATTTAATAAAAAAATTAATGAGTGCAGCCAACTCCCGAGCCGTAGTTTCGCAAAGCTAAATGAATTACTTAAAGCGATACCGGCAAGTGCTAGGAGAGGGAATAAAAATTCTTTACAAACTAAAAGTGCAAGGTGAATGTTTTACTTGAACAACACGGAGAAAATCTGATAATAGTTATTATACAATTTTAAAATGTTACTTTTAACCAAATTATAAATGCGGATGTTTAGATCTATACTAACATTATAAAGAGGAACACTTTGTTTGTTCGATTGTAATCAGCTCAAAAACTACTGGAACGATTTTAAAAACTTTCACCGTTAGAAAGGTAATTTATATATGAGTAACATAGGCTACATTTTTTTTATTTCTTTATTATTATATTTAAATTTCACGTAGACGGAGTCGCGGGCAGAAACTAGTATAGTATAAAGACAAAGAAATCTGATTTGCAAAATAGACAAATCGTTATGTTAGCAGATTGATGACACAATGGCGTGCAATGTGCCGTCTATAGGACCGTACTCAGATGTCCTACGTGACAATATCAAGGAATCGTCCGGAATCACACCGGCAGAATACCAATGTTCCAATTTATAAGCTAGGAACAGATTTCCTTCATAATGCACAAGTACAATGTGACAGTTCAGGTGCATTTATAAACAAACCATAATGTTCGGTACAGATCGTACAAGTTCGTTTATATTCGGTGGCAAACATATAATTTAAATTTCACGGCTCGGGTTATTGCGGGTAACCGGGTGATTTTTTATTCGCTACTTACGGAGGGTAGATTCAAATAACATCGGTGCGGTCGGACGCGGGTCTGAGGAGAAGGGTGCGGTAAAAGAGTCGTGTACAGTCCTACGAGTTAGTCATTTTTGTTAGAGAACGGATTTGCTTTAAATTTCGGTTTCGCGTTTAGAACAATATCGGTGCATACGGGTGCATTTGCAGTCAGCATCGCTGGCGCCTCTAGACTTGATAAAACGAAACTTGACTCGACTGACGTCGGTACATAGGCCAGGTGTCTGCAGGCGGTGAGGCGAGCATTGAGCAGGTAAGTGCCACTTCATCCCCCGTCATCCCCTTGTTTACAATACTATGCTCTCCGGTGCATGCATAGTCTAGGTGTAGGTTGTGCCGCGGGTCCCCAAGCTGTCGTGTTCGTTACACGTCATTTTAGAACATATAAGAATTAACGCAATTAGTCCAGAAGTACAATATATTTGAATTCAGTGATTTCAAATAGAATATACCTATAATTATTCATTTGTAATGCAATTTTAAGGTAATTCAAAAAATAATAATGCTGATTCCATGCAAAAGGTTTTGTTCTCATCTAACTCGTATTTCAATTTCAAAGACAAATCCAAATTGATGGATCGTCTAATACTGTTGTTGGATATATCAGTCTTCCGGAGCTTACAATCTGATTGGATATCTAGACATAGAATCGTAGCTTCTTGTTAATACACCTCACTGAATATAAGCTATGAACTAACCAAGAATATAAAAATCCTGATTCGGGACTGCTTCAATTGCTTTATTACATCACTTTTTAATGTGTGCAATTTGTTCCATATTTTACCGTAATACAGCGAGAGTTTTTCACTCACACTATTCACTGTCATACTTACAGTCGTCACTAAGAAACTCTTGTGTAGACTTTGCGATTATCGGACGTATGGTCTAAAAAGGAAAGTGTAAATGTTAAATCTTTTCCGTTGTACAACAATGTATCAGAAGTTAGATAAAACTTTACACGAAGTAAAAGTTTACTTCAAATAAGGAAAAGTTAGAAGAAATCCGCTCGACTTAGCTTTGACGTGCAGGTATCTAGAAATAAGCTGGATTTGAGAGCAATTAGTGCTCAGACTGGTTGTACGTTGTTTCAAATTTGTTTTTTTTTTTTTATTTTTAATGATGTTTATGCCAGATTAAATTTACCGCTAACGCGATTAATTCGTAATGTTTTTTATTTAATTATTACTTCTAAAATTAATTTAAAGGTTTAAATTTAATTGCAGTGTAGACATGTGTTGAAACTGTCGTTAAAATGTTGTTTTTTTTTTTAAATTTTGTATTAACAAAGTAGTGTTAAATATACGACGCTGAATTTCCAAATGTAAACTTATTTGTTCTGTAACTCGTACGCGCTATGTCCTTTGTCGCAAAACTTTACGGGTCATGGCTTTATTTATTTTTGAACCTTTGTACCCTTTTCTATTTAGAATTGTAAACGTCCTTTTTGTGCATCAGCTAGTAATAGTAGTCGGTAATAGTAAACTTTTTATGAATGAAAAATACTATCTTTAAGCTATCTCAGAGCACTTTCAAGAAACAATTTATTGCTTATATAATTCGTATGTATTTATTTAAGTCACGTGATAAGTTATATTTCTTTTTCATTTCGTTACGATTCGTTTTTTTATGTTTGATTCGACAAGAATCTTTTGTATTCGAGAATATTTTTACATATATTTTTTACAGTTTAAATTCAAGTTTAAAACACGGGCATTTGAATCCCGAGCAAATGCAGAAACATTCTTGTGCAAACTTCACCCGCCTCCAAGCCCGCTGTTTGAATGTGGCTGCACACCCTATGTAAAGTTTGCAAATCGTTTTCAAAGCTTACAATTTTTTTACGATCAAAATGTATGAATTGGACTCATTGTTCCCAAGTTAAAAGGTAAACTTTTTGTAAATCGAAATCGAAAAAAAACTTTATTATATGCAAATGTAAAAAATACAAGAATTCTTAGTCTATTCAAAATAAGACATTATTATTATTTATCTACATGCTTCTAAATTTAAAGACTATGAATACAGGGTGTACACATATCGTTACTCAGAAAACCTACGTAACTTGAATCAAGTTATTTGTTAAGTTATACGTTATAGATTGTAAAAATCGTCACTCTATTAGCGAACAATTACTAAAAGAGCGTTCATTGTTTAGTTTATAATCGGATCAGTTTGAGAATCCCGCTAGGAAATTGGTTCAGTCGACGGAAACTAAGCCCGATGCACTCCACGTAACAGGGCGCAATGCAGTGCAACTACAAACGTTTACTTTTCAACTGAGATAAAACTAAATTTGAAACAATTGTAAAGTAACTAAGTACATAGGTAAAATTTTTAGAATGTAGGAGAATACACATAAACAAAAGCATCATTCAACGATCAATTGCCTTTAGTAACCTATCTATGATAACTACTTGAGTTTCGAATGCTTAAAAAAACAGACGGCAGTTCGTAAAGTTTTGGAAATGTGGTTGTCTTCAGATCCACGCAGTGTAGGAAAGACTTAATGTGGATTTATGTTCTTATCAGGAAAAAGAGAGCGTTGGAGCTATCTTTAGGATCTACAAAATCCTTCTCACATTCAGCAATTCCTTTTTTAAATACAAGCTTAATAACAAGTAAGAGTTAAAATTAAAGTAACATATTTCCCATTCATTTACAGATCAATAGAACTTAGGATTTGAGCGCTGTTTTAAAAACTATTTTTCTTTACAACTCTATTTTGCGTCGCCACATTCTTTTTCAAGCGGACCTTTTGAATTTTGTTTAAAAATGTTTCCTTAATCTTTTACATTCACGGAAAAATATAAGGAAGCATGTTGCTTATCTTTTTTCATTCATTCTTTTGAAATTATTTAACACTCTTATACATACTTCTTTATATTTTTATTTACTAATTTCTCCAGTGTAAAACCAAAAGATTAAAAAAAATGTACTCTTTTCGCTTATTGAGAAATATATAAGACCAATATTCGTACGAAAATGTCATATAACGATCTAAAGTCAAATTTTAAAATTCTTATTAAATTTAAAGCTTTTGGCGGCACTCTCGCTGCATAGCGTGGGCGATTTTTTGAATTATTCATGCAAAAACCTTTTAGTAAAGAAAGTTAAAAATTATACTAGATCGAAGGTAATAGAAATCGGTGAATTTTCCGTTGAACAACTTAAACTAGTTTTTATTTTTGTTAACAATTAAATTTTGTTACTAATTATGCTCATGTTTCATACACATGACTATAAAATTAACATGAACACTAATTAAATTACCATTAGCGACCAAAATATTACAAATGTTTGCTTTAAAAGCGGATTAATTTACGGTCTGGTAATTATTACTGAAATCGGGCGACTCCATATTATTCATGCATTTATCTGTTATTTAATTTGGAATCGCTCGACCTTTAATATATTGATCCGTAAAATATAGTTGCGATAATAACTTCGGTACTGGTCATGCGTTTACCAATGGAATATTTACTGCGTAAAAATTTGTTCTTAACGAGGCGGGCGGTCTAGCGCAAGGTATATGGTTAGTAATAGTTTTTTTTCAAATAAGAGAAATTGCCTTAACATTTTTTCAGGCGCGATTGCAAATTATGTTCAAAGTTGAATAATTTGAATGCCGGGAATGTCGGTGAGTTATGGAATTTAAGATTTTTCTAAAGTTTAGCCTTTGATTTGCTATCTCTTCGATCACCTAAATTTCGACATAATCATGTAATAAAATAGTGCGTGTTTCCAATTAACTCAACAACTTGTTGTAAGTTGTAATTAAAACTGAATGCGTAAAGTGGTAAACGTTTTAATAAGTTTAAGTGCAGTTTATTAAATTGAATTACGAATCGGTTGAAATGGAGGCCGTTGAGGATATATTATGACCGCTAGAAATCACTC